TCCCACACTTCTCCAGTTCCCTCCACCCTTTTGCGCCCCCTACTTTGGGACAGTCCATTACAGTTCCAATCTTTACTCGAACTCCTCCTCCTTCCATCTCCAATACTGTCTCCCATACGATGTCTCTGAACTCCAAAACACTTGAAACAATCTCTGCATATATTGCAGAGACCAAACCATCAGTGGACACTGATCCATCCTCTGTTCCTTCTCTTTCCTCTTCTCCATCTGCGCAACTCCTTTCTTCACAATGCACCGTTCCTTCGCTGCTTGAACGTTTTCCGCTGCCACCGCATGTGGACTTTTCTAACCCCTCTAGTCCGTAAGTACCCTTACCAGCGGATTTCTAGTATATCGTTGCCAATCATGGCCTATTTACAGTGGAATATACGCGGCCTCGGGTAATCGGGGTGTTGCTCTCCCAATTTTCCCCTGTTGGTGTTTGCTTACAAGAACCAAAATTACACTCTGCTGTTATCTATCCCATCTCAGGCTATAATTTATTGTATTCTTCGGATCCTTTTCCTGATGGGACCTTTAACGAAAGTGCCCTTCTTCTAAGCACTGATATTCCATACCATCAGCTATTTGTTCGTACTTCGCTGCTTTACACATCAGCCCGTATCCACCTGCATAGGTGGTATACACTCTGTTCTTTGTATCTCTCTCCTTCTCGAGCATTATCTATTCCGGATATTGCCTTTCTTGTTTCGTTATTACCGCCACCACTTCTGTTACTTGGCGATTTTAATGCCCATCATTTCCTCTGGGGGGGGGGCCTCAGTGTGATTCCCATGGCATTCAGCTAGAGGCTTTTCTTGCTTCCCACCCCCTCCATGTTTTAAATACAGGTGCTCACACCCATTTTGATCCTCGTACTCATACTCTCTCTTGCATCGATCTCTCAGTCTGCTCTTCCTCCGCCGCACTAGACTTCACCTGGTCTGTTCTCGCGGATTTACATGACAGCGATCATTTTCCAATCATTCTTACTTCCCCTTCATATTCACCACCTCTTCGTAACTCACGCTAGCAATTTGATCAGGCAAATTGGGACCTTTACTCAAAACTAACTGTTTTTAGTGAGGTTCCTTCTTCGTCCTCCATTGATGAGCTTTTACACCTCTTCTCGTCCTCAGTTTTAACCACAGCTTCTCATTCTATACCCCAAACCTTGGGCAGTCATTCTCAGAAATGCGTGCCTTGGTGGTCTCCTGCTTGTGCTCGTGCAGTACGTTTGAAACGCGCTGCTTGGGGCAGGTACCGGTACAATAGAACCATTGAGAGACTTCTTGATTTTAAGCAGAAGCGTGCGATCGCTTGCCGTGTCATCCGTGACGCTAAACACACTTATTATTATTTTTTTTATTAACACACTGGCCGATTCCCACCAAGGCAGGGTGGCCCGAAAAAGAAAAACTTTCACTATCATTCACTCCATCACTGTCTTGCCAGAAGGGTGCTTTACACTACAGTTTTTAAACTGCAACATTAACACCCCTCCTTCAGAGTGCAGGCACTGTACTTCCCATCCCCAGGACTCAAGTCCGGCCTGCCGGCTTCCCTGAATCCCTTCATAAATGTTACTTTGCTCACACTCCAACAGCACATCAAGTATTAAAAGCCATTTGTCTCCATTCACTCCTATCAAACACGCTCACGCATGCCTGCTGGAAGTCCAAGCCCCTCGCACACAAAACCTCCTTTACCCCCTCCCTCCAACCTTTTCTAGGCCGACCCCTACCCCACCTTCCTTCCACTACAGACTGATACACTCTTGAAGTCATTCTGTTTCGCTCCATTCTCTCTACATGTCCGAACCACCTCAACAACCCTTCCTCAGGCCTCTGGACAACACACTTGCTGGCGAGATTATGTCTCCACCATCACCTCTGCTTCCTCTATGAGTGCAGTCTGGAAAAAAGTACGGAAACTGAGTGGTAAATATTCTCCTAACCCGGCTCCTGTTCTGCGGTTGCCAGTGTTGATATAGCAAACCCTCTAGATGTTGCCTTTGAAATTGGCAATCATCTGATCCGTATTTCTCTTGGGCTCCATCTCTGTCCCTCGTTTCTTTCCTCAAAATCTGCCAGAGAGTTAGAGCCCTTGGACTTTTCTTCTCTCAGAGAAGAACAGTATAATGTGCCTTCTACACTTCAGGAACTGGAGGCAACACTCTCAGCTTGCAGATCATCGACAGCTGGGCCCGACGACATTCATATTCGTATGTTACAGCATTTACATCAGTCAGCCGTTGCAGTCCTCTTACGCCTTTTCAATCTTATTTGGTCACAAAGAGTTCTTCCACAGCTGTGGAAATCTGCCATTGTTCTCCCTTTCCACAAACCGGGTACTACGGGACATGAAGCCTCCCACTATCGTCCCATCGCTCTTACCAGTGCAGTTTGCAAAGTGATGGAAAGTCTGGTAAATAAACGTTATATGTGATATTTAGAGACACACAACAGTCTCTCCACTCATCAATATGGCTTTCGTAAGGGCCGTTCTACCATAGACCCCTTACTATGTTTGGATACGTATGTTCGTAATGCCTTTGCGAATAACCACTCAGTTATTACCATATTTTTTGACCTTGAGAAGGCATATGACACAACTAGGAGGTATAATATTTTGGCCCAAGCCCACTCCTTAGGCCTCCGAGGCAATCTACCATCTTTCCTTAAGAACTTTTTAACTGACAGACATTTCCGTGTTCAAGTCAATAATGTGCTCTCCCCTGACTTTGTCCAAGCTGAAGGTGTCCGTCAGGGATGTGTTCTGAGCACAACACTTCTTCTCCTTGCTATAAATGATTTGATGTCTGTTCTTCCATCCAATATTTGGTCATCACTCTGTGTAGATGACTTCACTATTGCTTGTGCAGGCGCTGACTGTCACCTCATTACAGTTTCTCTCCAGCATGCAGTCGACCGTGTTACCAATTGGGCCACCACACATGGGTTTAAATTTTCCAGTTCCAAACTCACCAAATTACTTTCACAAGACACTCTGTCATCTCTGATCATCCTTTGTACCTCTATGGCTCACGTATCCCTGAACGTGATACAGTCAGGTTTCTAGGCCTTCTCTTTGACCGTAGGTTATCCTGGAAACCCCACATTACCTCTCTAAAGGCAACTTGTCACAGCTGGCTGAACCTTCTTAAAATCCTTGCTCATCTTTCATGGGGAGCTGATCGTCGAACTCTCCTTCGCCTACATTCAGCCCTCATTTTATTGAAACTTGATTATGGTGACCAGATCTATTCAGCGGCCTCTCCTGCTACTCTCTCTAGCCTTAACCCCATCCATCACCAAGGATTACGTTTATGCCTTGGTGCTTTTCGCTCTTCCCCTGTTGAGAGCCTCTATGCAAAAGTGAATGTTCCATCCTTGTCTGATCGCCGTGATGCCCATTGCCTTCGCTACCATGTGCGCTCTCACGATCTCCGCAATCCTTCCATTTATAGAATGGTCACTGATATTAGTAGACATTCTTTATTTGTTCGCCGCCCCTGTTTGCTCCATCCCTTCTCTCTTCGCCTACATTCTCTCGTGTCTTCCCTTCAGTTACCGCCTTTATATGTTCATGTAGCATCTCACTTTTCCCTACCCCCTGGGAAGTTCCAGCTGTTCGGGTCTGTTCTTTCTCACTCCCTTGCTCGAAAGCCCAACTGCCTATGGTGGCTTCTCGCTCTCTTTTTCTTGACCACTTCCACTCTCATTCTCATGCCATCGCCGTGTACACAGATGGCTCTAAATCTTCTGACAGCGTCGGATTCGCAGCAGTGTTTCCGGACAGTGTTGTGCGAGGGCATTTACTATCTTCGGCTAGCATTTTTACTGCTGAATTGTATGCCATTCTTGCAACACTTATTCGTATTGCATCTATGCCTTTATCATCATTTGTGGTTGTCTCAGGCTCCCTTAGTGCTCTACAGGCTATACGGAAATTTGATACACCTCACCCCCCACTTCTCTGTATCCAACATTGGCTACGCGCATCTCTACCAAGCATAAAGATATTGTTTTTAGTTGGGTCCCTGGTCATGTTGATGTACAGGGCAATGAACAGGCAGACACTGCTGTGCTTTCAGCAGTACATGACCTACCAATTTCATACAGAGGTGTTCCATTTCCGGACTATTTTGTTGTAATAGCTACCCACCTTCACACCCGTTGGCAACAACGTTGGTCTGCTCTGCTCAATAACAAACTTTGTTCTATTAAACCGAGTATAGGTTACTGGCCGTCTTCTTGTCACCAGTGTCGAGGTTGAGAGACTACTCTCTCCCGCCTTCGCGTTGGCCATACTCGTCTTACTCATGGATATCTCATGGAGAGGCGCCCTGCTCCTCTCTGTGAGAATTGTCAGGTTCCAGTATTGGTCAGCCATATTCTGTTAGACTGCCCACTCTATCAGCGAGCACACAGAATTTACCTCCAACGTCGTCTTCGCTCCGCTGCTCTCTCTTTACCTTCCCTCCTTGCTGATGGACCCACCTTTCATCCGGACTCTCTCATTGACTTTTTGACAACAACTGACTTAATCCACAAACTCTGATGATGATACCTTCAGCCCTTTCTACCTCAGTCTCTTGCTACCCTCTACCCCCACACTATCCCCTGCCCTGCTGTTTTCTGTAACCTACTAATCATCCCTTTCCCCTTCTGCCGCCCGATAGCCTCGCTTCCTTCCTTACCCTGAAGCGCTGTATAGCCCTTGTGGCTTAGAGCTTCTTTTTGATTATAATAATAATAATAATAATAATAATAATTATCTACTTTGGTGGGAAATGTCCAATGTGTTAATAAAAAAAATACATGCACGCTCATTTTATATACACATTTTTCCTTTTCATAAACTCGTGTGCCTTTATTTATACATCATGTACACATGCACATGTATTTGTATTATATGCACATTCACATGTGTTTCTATATGTGCCATTCACACTTTCATATGTGTTTGTTTATATGTTGTGTATATATATTTCTTTGTGTACTTATCTCTTCATTCTTCTAAACATGACTTTCTTTTCTTTTCAGATAGTGACGGTGGTACCAAATACCTTTTGTGTCACCTTAAATAATTTTCTTTTGAAACTTCAACCTTTTGGAATAGAAAAACTTTACATAGTTAATTTACAGTTTGATTGCCCATCTATTGTGGTTACTATATGTAAAAATTCTCCATTAATTAAGTGGATTTATCTGAGAATAGAATTTGTCAAAGGGGATATTTTAAGGGAAATTGGACATGCTGCTCCTAGCATTGAAACAGTTATTGTTGCTGTCAGAAAAGATGAAATATTTGAGGAAATATCATCTACTGTTGAAATTGTGATTGATGGTGGGGAGGGTCTGGAAGATAGTTTATACACAGGCTTTTTTGATGGCCTAGACAAAAATGCTGTCAATCTTAAAATTCAGAATGGGGAAGGTTTTAAAATGACTTTCCCAAAATTAAAGTATGTAGATGTAGGAATTCATAGAGATGTACGGGACTTTTTGCATCACCTCTTATACATATACCCGGATATAAGAAGCATCATGTGTGATTCAGAAGACTGGGTTCTGAGCAAGTATTCTCTCAACTTTCCATTTGCATCACCTTCATATCTGGGTGCTGGTCCAAAGTCCTTACAAGAGAAAGTAGTCGAGTATAATCTTCGTGAAATGAGCTTTACGTCATTTTGCCTCTGTTCAAAATTACACGATATTACTAGATTCAAAAAGTTAGAGCACATTAGTTTACATTTGTTGAGAGGCCCATGGAAAATTAAACATACCAGTGAAAATGCAGAACTTCTTTCTCGAATTAGTTGCCAATATTTGACTATTTTTGTTGATGTTTACATGAGTAATGATGATTTATTAGGTTTATACACACCATCGCTGCAGAGAGTTGGATCATCTCTGAAAATATTACAGTTTCATTTTACTAATGAGGTGAATGTCAAGGTTTTATGTCAGCTCATCAATATGTGCCAGTCCTTAGAGGAGCCGGCACTTGTAACATCCTGTGAGAGATGTGAGGTTGAAGGTGAGGCCACTGACAGGATAGACCTTTGCCAGTTAACAAGGTTGAAATGTCTTAGTATCTCCAGTCACTACAATGTCACTGATACTCTGTACTTGTTGTCACACAAACTTATCTGTTCTTCAACAAATCTAACAACTTTGGAGCTTGAGCTTGGTGGGCGAATTGTAACAGAATGGCTGATGGAGATTGTCACAAGTGGGGCTCTGGCAGGACTGAAAATCTTTCATTTAAATTTGCCTGGTTACAGTTTTGATAAGTTGATAATAAGTAACTTTTTCATTCCTTTGATAAGTGCTTTACCTCATCTTTCATGCTTGATGCTGGGCAGTGTTTGTTACTGCATTATCCAGGCATTAAGGGAAAGATACAGATGGTCAAAGTTGACAATCATTTCTAGGACTTCATCATATGTGGCATTCAGAAGTCTCACTTGCCGATGCTGTTAGATACAGCTCACTTTACAGGGCATGTGTGCATTATCCTCAGTTATAAACATTAATTGTTTCTCAGCTAGAGTAAATGTTTTAATATAAATTAGTCAGTGAAACAAACTGAAACATCATTAAAGTTCAATCTCCAATTTGTGGATTACTTGTGAAGAATGCAATGTATACAGCTTGTGTCTGTGTTGAAATTGTGAATTAGGGCTGTGTTTTCCTAAGAAACTATATTAAATTTAATTGTAGGAGATGCCTAGCATCAGCCAGTAGGCTTACTGCAGTGTTTCTCACTCCTAGTATGAATTGCCTGGCATAGGGTAGCAGGCCAACTGCAGGGCTTGCCTAACATGGGCCAGTAGGTCATCTGCAGTACGTACTCCTCTAATCTTATGTCTGGTGATATTTCTGAGGAAAGATTGTCGGGCTGGTTCAGTATGTACACTATACCCTGCGTAATAATTGAAAGAACACATGACTGATTTATAATAGCATTCCTTTTATTTAGTATATTTTCATCTTTGCAAGATAGTAGGTTGGTAGACAGCAACCACCCAGGGAGGTACTACCGTCCTGCCAAGCCAGCGTAAAATGGAAGCCTGAAATTGTTTTACATGATGGTAGGATTGCTAGTGTTTTTTTTGTCTCATAAACATGCGAGGCTTCAGGTACGTTTTGCTACTTCTACTTAAACTTAAGTCATACTATACGTACATGCATGTACAAGCATATATACACACACCCCTCTGGGTTTTCTTCTGTTTTTCTTACTAGTTCTTGTCTATGTTTATTTTCTCTTATCTCCATGGGAAAGTGGAACAGAATTCTTCCTCCATAAGCCAAGCATGTTATAAAAGGTGACTAAAATGCTGGGAGCAAGAGGCTAGTAACCCCTTCTCCTGTATATATTACTAAAGTTGAAAAGAGAAACTAATTTTTCTTTTTGCGTCACCTTGCCTCGGTGGGATACTGCCGGTTTGTTGAAAGAAGAAGATTTTCATCATTGTTAAAATTGTTAAGTGTAGTTGGTTCCCCATAAACAACATTAATGCTGTACTGAAAATAGTTATAGGTTAATTGTTCAGAACTTAAAACCTATTTTTCCATAGAGCTGTTCTAAACGGACATACATTCCAGAGCCATAACATTCCATGTCTAATTTCATTAATCATTTTATTTAGAATATTTACCAAGTATTTATTTATTATATATTATAATATATATATATATATATATATATATATATATATATATATATATATATATATATATATATATAATTATATATATATATATAGTATTGCGTGCCGAATAGGCAGAATTTGCGATCTTGGCTTAAATAGCAACGCTCATCTTACCATATAGGACAAGTGAAAATTTGTGTATGCAATAATTTCACCAAAATCATTCTGAGACTAACGAAAAAAATATATTTCATTGTGCTTGTTTAGTATTAAATTACTGTAAATAAATCTAAAATATATTTAGTTGGGTTAGGCTAAAATAAATTATTCTTGTTATAATAAGGTTAGGTAAGTTTTCTAAGATTCTTTTGGAGTAAAATTAAAAATTTTTACATTAACACTAATGAAAAAATATCTCTAAACGTATAAGAGAAAATTTTAGAAAGGACTTATTTTTAAATGAGTTCTTGCTAATTGAGGTTAAGAGAGTGGTGAAGCAATGTAAAAAGAGAGCAAATGAGAGAGTGGGTGAGATGTTATCAACAAATTTTGTTGAAAATAAGAAAAAGTTTTGGAGTGAGATTAACAAGTTAAGAAAGCCTAGAGAACAAATGGATTTGTCAGTTAAAAATAGGAGAGGAGAGTTATTAAATGGAGAGTTAGAGGTATTGGGAAGATGGAGGGAATATTTTGAGGAATTGTTAAATGTTGATGAAGATAGGGAAGCTGTGATTTCGTGTATAGGGCAAGGAGGAATAACATCTTGTAGGAGTGAGGAAGAGCCAGTTGTGAGTGTGGGGGAAGTTCGTGAGGCAGTAGGTAAAATGAAAGGGGGTAAGGCAGCCGGGATTGATGGGATAAAGATAGAAATGTTAAAAGCAGGTGGGGATATAGTTTTGGAGTGGTTGGTGCAATTATTTAATAAATGTATGGAAGAGGGTAAGGTACCTAGTGATTGGCAGAGAGCATGCATAGTTCCTTTGTATAAAGGCAAAGGGGATAAAAGAGAGTGCAAAAATTATAGGGGGATAAGTCTGTTGAGTGTACCTGGTAAAGTGTATGGTAGAGTTATAATTGAAAGAATTAAGAGTAAGACGGAGAATAGGATAGCAGATGAACAGGAGGCTTTAGGAAAGGTAGGGGTGTGTGGACCAGGTGTTTACAGTGAAACATATAAGTGAACAGTATTTAGATAAGGCTAAAGAGGTCTTTGTGGCATTTATGGATTTGGAAAAGGCGTATGACAGGGTGGATAGGGGGGCAATGTGGCAGATGTTGCAAGTGTATGGTGTAGGAGGTAGGTTACTCAAAGCAGTGAAGAGTTTTTACGAGGATAGTGAGGCTCAAGTTAGAGTATGTAGGAAAGAGGGAAATTTTTTCCCAGTAAAGTAGGCCTTAGACAAGGATGTGTGATGTCACCGTGGTTGTTTAATATATTTATAGATGGGGTTGTAAGAGAAGTAAATGCGAGGGTCTTGGCAAGAGGCGTGGAGTTAAAAGATAAAGAATCACACACAAAGTGGGAGTTGTCACAGCTGCTCTTTGCTGATGACACTGTGCTTTTGGGAGATTCTGAAGAGAAGCTGCAGAGATTGGTGGATGAATTTGGTAGGGTGTGCAAAAGAAGAAAATTAAAGGTGAATACCGGAAAGAGTAAGGTTATGAGGATAACAAAAGATTAGGTGATGAAAGATTGAATATCAGATTGGAGGGAGAGAGTATGGAGGAGGTGAACGTATTCAGATATTTGGGAGTGGACGTGTCAGCGGATGGGTCTATGAAAGATGAGGTGAATCATAGAATTGATGAGGGAAAAAGAGTGAGTGGTGCACTTAGGAGTCTGTGGAGACAAAGAACTTTGTCCTTAGAGGCAAAGAGGGGAATGTATGAGAGTATAGTTTTTACCAACGCTCTTATATGGGTGTGAAGCGTGGGTGATGAATGTTGCAGCGAGGAGAAGGCTGGAGGCAGTGGAGATGTCATGTCTGAGGGCAATGTGTGGTGTGAATATAATGCAGAGAATTCGTAGTTTGGAAGTTAGGAGGAGGTGCGGGATTACCAAAACTGTTATCCAGAGGGCTGAGGAAGGGTTGTTGAGGTGGGTTTGGACATGTAGAGAGAATGGAGCGAAACAGAATGACTTCAAGAGTGTATCAGTCTGTAGTGGAAGGAAGGCGGGGTAGGGGTCGGCCTAGGAAGGGTTGGAGGGAGGGGGTAAAGGAGGTTTTGTGTGCGAGGGGCTTGGACTTCCAGCAGGCATGCGTGAGCGTGTTTGATAGGAGTGAATGGAGACAAATGGTTTTTAATACTTGACGTGCTGTTGGAGTGTGAGCAAAGTAACATTTATGAAGGGATTCAGGGAAACCGGCAGGCCGGACTTGAGTCCTGGAGATGGGAAGTACAGTGCCTGCACTCTGAAGGAGGGGTGTTAATGTTGCAGTTTGGAAACTGTAGTGTAAAGCACCCTTCTGGCAAGACAGTGATGGAGTGAATGATGGTTTAAAGTTTTTCTTTTTCGGGCCACCCTGCCTTGGTGGGAATCGGCCAGTGTGATAATAAAAAAAAAAAAAAAAATATATATATATATATATATATATATTATATTATATATATATATATATATATATATATATATAAATATATATAAATATATAAATAAATATATTATAATTTATATATATTTATATATATATATATATATATATATATATATATATATATATATATATATATATATATATATATATATATATATTACAGACACTGATAAACATATACATTGTGAGCAGCCCTCAGCTGTTTTATATCAGTGTTGTAACAACAGTGGTATATAACACCCAGAACTCACCACGTGGAGGTGGCTGCTCGGCGAGTTCCTATTTTTTTTTTTTTTTTTTTTTTTGTGTGTGTGTGTGTGTGTGTGTGTAACCTATGTACATTACCCATGCCTCATAGTTTACATTTCTCCCCAAAACTGTTCAGTTTTTCTTACCGTGACAGGATTTTTTCTGGCGGGCTCGGGTGTCTTCTTCTTCAGTCCACTCACGTTTCCTTCTGCGTTTTTTAGCTCTAATCAAATCAATCAAGTCTTCTACTCCAGGACGCTCCTCTGGGCTCTCCCGTAGACAGTCTGTAATCCATTTTTGCATGCGTTTAGGGAGGGTCATTCTCAAGAACTTTCTTTGTTCCTGGAAGAGGATGGCGATGCTGTAAGCATCAGAGGTGGGTGTGGCAGGCTTGCTGTCTCGCACCTCTGGTGCCACCCAGTCAAGGTATATTTTTTTTATTTTCGCTGAGAGGGTATTTATGGAGAATGCAGTTTCGGTAAAATTTCCGAAATCAATTAATGTTGTTTTAAGTCCTTGTTCGCTATCCTTAATACAGATATTATCATTTTTTATATCATTGTGAGACATTCCATAAGAGCCCAGTTGCTAGACGGTGTGACATAGACCTTCAACAATGTCTAGTATGTTGTCTTGGTTGAGTAGTTTTCGTTTGCTATACTCATAAAGAGAAAAACCGTCGTACTTTGTAAGGAGTAATCGATTCAGGATTTCCACTCCTACAAGAGACTGCGTTCCTTTAACATCCTTAACCCGTACCAGACTTTTCAGTTCCTTCAAAAGGGCGTCATATGGGTCTCTACCTATGAACTTTTTGATGACAAAATCATGACTGGGGCTCCGAACTCGCCAGCACCGGCCAGCAGCACCTTCTCCAAGGAGTGTGGTTTTACCTTGGTTCTGAAATGCCTTTACTTCATCTACAGTCAGGATATCCGTCCCACTCTCTCGGCAAAGCTCTGTAATTTGCTGAATAACCTCCTCCACGCAGCGCTCAGTATTTTTTGCCATTGTATTGTAAGACCAGAAGAACTGATCGAAGTCTTGCAACACAAATCCAATATATTGATACTGTTTTTTACAGTGGTAATATTTGTATTATAGTTATACTGTGTGTATTATAGTTAGGCTAGAAGTACAGTGCTAATGTTAGTATTATAGTTTATATTGTGAGGATTATAGTTAAGTTAGAATTAAAGTGATGTGAGTATTATAGTGATGTGAATATTATAGTGAAGTTGAGTGTATAATAGTGATGATTTTAGTGTCATGGTGATGTGAATATCATATTGATATGAGTATGTAATAGTGATGATGTGAGTATGATAGTGATGTTTTGTATATCTCAGTGGAGTTGTGTATATCATTGTGGTGATGTGTATGATAGTGATGCTGTGTGTATGAGTCATCTTGTGTGTATGATAGGGGTGTTAGGTGTATGATACTGATGAAGTGTGAATTATAAAGGTGCTGTATGTATTATAGAGGTGGTGCATGTTTGATAGAGGAGCTGTAGGTATGATAGTGATGCTGTGTACATCATAGTGATGCTGTATGTATTATATTGGTGCTATGTATACTATTGTGGTGTATGTATTAGAGTTATGCTGAATATATTATAGTGGTGCTGTGAGTATTATATTGATGCTGAGTGCATGATAGGGATGATGTATGTATGATAATGGTGCTGTGTGTATCATATTAATGCAGTGTGTATCATAGTGATATTGTTTGTATAATAGTGTAACACAGTGTGACATGTGTAGTGTAGTATAGTACAGAGTGACGTGTGTAGTGTAGTACAGAGTGACGTGTAGTGTAGTGCAGTGTGATATGCGTAGTGTAGTACAGAGTGACGTTTGTAGT